CTCTCAATCCCTTCATCCCCCAGCCTGTATTGATACTGGGGGTTGCCCTGACCCAGGTGCAGGGTCGAAATGAAAATGAGCATTCATCTCTCAGAAATGAGACTGTAGCATGCAATGCAACTCTGGGGAGAAAGTTAGTCATGCAAACTTGGCTCCCGAGTTAAGGACACACACCAGCTTGTTTCAGGACTAGCTTATTATCTGTAATGCTCTCTTGCCTTGTGCAGCATAAATACACCCTGCAGATAACTTTTTGTCTGAAAATTTTATGTACTGGCTGAACTGGCCAAAAATCTTGGCAGTGTTAACGGTCAAAGGTAGCTTGTGCACCGTAAGAACAGAAGGGCTGGAATGCTGTTTTGTAAGACTGTGCATAACAAATTAATGACTGTAGCCTCACCCAGAAACTGGATCTACAATGTATGAGAAGGATCAAAAACTGAGGGGATGAAATCAAAATTTTTCCCTTTTTTACGCTTTATAGCAAAAAGCTGCTCTAGATGAAGGCAGTCTAACTTCACGTAGTCTCTGCTCTGCCTGACTTGGAGCATGGGTCTCTCACTTGCCGAAGACCAGCTGTATTTATCACAGAACTTCATCTATTAAACTCACATGAAATGGAACTGCCCCAGTGGAAGCAGCTGGGGCAAAGAGCTGGACATGCATCACATGCACATTTGTGTGCGGGGGGTGTACGGACAGGAGCACTCTCCCAAGTACTGAGGAAACTGTATGTTGTAGAGGGCAAAAATTAGACTGCTTTCAGTGAATGCAGGCTCTTGCTGGCTTAGTGGGACGTCAGTTGTGCTTGTGTGTAACCGAATTTCATTTTGTTCCATGTGCTCTGAAGTCTGAAGGCTAGGGATTTTTTTTCTTGTGTTAAACAGTAAGATGTTATGTTCCTCTTCTAGTGAGCTTGTATTTGAGATAAGCTCTCTTTTGTCAGTATGAATGCAGCTGCTTGAGAGGAGTTTGCTAGATGCTCTTTGAGTGATACTGTGTACACTGTCTTTTTGTCTTTTTATATATTTTTTTTTTTTTTTTTAGCTTCTAAACTTGGCATAGTTTTTCTGGCAAAGGTCTTTTGAACTTCAAATAACTAAAGCTTAAGATGAATGTATGGAATAAGATTTTGGAGTAGTTTTCTAGTTTCTTTAAACAGTCTTGAAATGTTTGTATATACAACATTTTTACTTTGTGATATGTAGAGCACAGCAAAGTTTTGGCTTTTGAGTCAGATTTCCCAGCATCTAAAATACTAATGAAATAAAAGTTATCCAGAAATATTGGTCAGCTGCAGGATTTACCATTTATAATTTACTTTATATGGCCTGTTTTGTGTGCTTAATATGGTCATGTCACAAGTTTCAACACTTCAACTCTCAGTTGCCAGGTTTTGTTAGTGCATGTTTGTGGATGACTACCTCGCTAGGCTATTTCCATTGATTACTGGATAGCTTGTTCTCAGTTAAGTAGAACACACTGTGCAATAATTAATTAATTCTGACCTTATTTTTCTGTCTGTTGGGATTTCGAGCTATAGTTCAGTGTCTGCATTAACGACTGGAAGCAAAAATGTTCTGGCATAATGGTTTCTCTGTAATGTTGACATTTAATACTGGATACTTGTAAAACATTTTATGCTGATGTAGTCATGTAGCCTATCAAATGTGAACTGTGAAACTAAATAATAATAATAATAATAATAATAGAGACTAGGACATTTTTCAGATTTCTCTTTTCTTCCTGTTGGGTATCCTACACAACAGGATGTCTTGCACGAATACAAATCTCTCAAAACTTATCCAAAAACTGAAGATAGTTTATAATGTAAGGTGGTGTATATATTAAAAGTGAAAATGCTACTACTCCATAATTACATGATTCCAAAAAGTGGAAGCAGACAAGGTCATGTAGGACAAGCTCATTAACGGGTAGAAAAGGTGATTTGCCTGTTTCCTTAGGCAGGCCTCAAAACTGCCCCGTGGTGGGTGAGTGTACTAATGGTGTCTGAGGGCTTTAATGGAAAAGATAATTCTCAGTTAGCCCTGTTTGGGTTGTGTATTTGGTGTGGTTTTAATTTCTAAGCTACTGGCCTTGGCAGGAGGCCGAATGTTGGGTTACATGAACCGTTGCATATGATTGCTGGTAGTAGTGCAAACTGCTAGCAGAACACCTAGGGAGTCAGAAGTTTTGGAAAGTGCATGTAGCTGCAAGTAGTGGCCTCTCTGTTTAAGCAGTTATTCTGCCTGCAATGGAGACGTAAGCAAAACAGAGCATTTAGAGTATACAGTACAGTCAGGCATGTCTATAGTACCGCTGTTACACAGTGACAAGGTGTTTTAGAGGATAAGAATTTCTTTAAAGCATGTTAATCACAGAAATAAATGACTCAGTCAAGCATCTGCCTTACAGAATAACTGCCACGTTAATGAGAAGAAATCAGAGAATAATAAATATTCAGAGAACCCACAGCTGAATAAGAGTATGGGAGCTGTTCAGACTTCATGCAAGCTGCGTATTTGTCCAGACCCTGTTTGAAACACTGAAAAGAAGTTCACTATCAAATGCCTAAAACTGGAAAAATCTCTCCTGACTTGGTTAGAACAGAAATGACCTTGTAACTCAATGTCTTGCAAAGGAGAGCAGGAAACCTTCATGTTCTAGATGTGCTACCATGTAAAGGCAGGTGGTTGAAAATAACGTTTTTAAGGGTCAGAGCAGCAGTGGGGTGCATCAGTACAGCTACGTGGCTGTCCTGACAGGGTTCCCCAAAAACTGGTGCTGCTGGACCATTGCTTTTGCAATCCATGGAAAGGCAACACAGCAGACTGCCGACTGTAACACCATCTGTCTGCAAGAAAGAGCCAGGAAAGCAAACCTTAAAATAAAAAAAGAACAAGATGAGATTGTAGCTGCTGAATTTCATAGATAGGACCTTTGACCCTTAGAAACATTGTCAGTATCTACATATACGTATTTATAAATATTTGCACATTTACAAATGTCAATCCACTGAGAGATGTATCTGGGAAATTCAGGAGAAGGAGAAATAAGCAAATCAAGTCTGAAATAATCACACAGGCTGAATTTTGTGTAGTTATGTGATGACACTGCCAGTACACCTCCAGCAGTTCTCAGGGTCATAGCCGCGGGGTGATGAGGAAACTCCAGTGAGAGGATGCCAGTGAGGTGGCTTAGGGCAGAGGAGTAGACAATGCAAAATGACTTACTTGCAGAACAAATCCAAGCTGAGATAGAAGCTCTTTATGATGGTGTTTGCAAGTGGAAACTTGGACTAGTATGTTAAAGACGGGAAAGCATTGGCACTGAAAGCAGGCATAAATCATCAAACAAACTCTTGTTAAAGTACCTGCTACTTACTACTCCTGAATTATCTTTGTCATATACTATTGAAGCAGTGCTACAGTTAATGGTATCAAAAAAGGACTGAGATGCATGCAGGTTGACTTGGAGCATGAAAATACGGGATATACATGGACAAACTGAGACAAAACGTAGATGAACATATTGTCTACAGCAGTCACAGCCCAGTTTCAAAATGGGGACTGAAAGGAATCCAAGAATGAACTGTGCAAGACAAAAGCTTGCAAGCGCTCATGTGTAGTTGAAATCAATAGAACTACTCATGTAAGCAGGTCTCTGCTGGAGCAAAAGGGGAAGTTGCAACATAGCTCTGAAAGCGAAAGGTGGGTCAGTTGCAGAGTAGGAATAAAAAAAATCAAAAGTAGAAGTGAGCTGACAGAAATGTAGGAGGAAATACATCTGTGCTTGTCTGTGCCTTTTGTTTTTCTTCTCCCCAGTATAAAGCAGCTTGACAGGTACGGTCAGCTGATCCTCGCCAACTCCACTGCAGCAGACACAGGGGAATATAGCTGCTGGCTTCAGCTGTGCAATGGTAACAAATGCAGGAAGGATGAGACTAAAACTGGTTCAACGTACATCTTTTTCACAGGTAATTAACTCACTGGGGGATTATTAATGAAAATATATTTGCTAGTAAGACAGGCATAAAGCTACAGCAGCAATTTCACTGTCAAGATCTTTCTTCCACAATTTTCATCTTTTTCACTGGATGTTAAGGAAGGCAGTGCTGCTGAGCAGAAAATTACTTGCTTAGTGTGATTTATGAGTCCATTTTCCCTAAGGATTATGCTAAATGTGTACCCAAAATAATGCATAATGCAATGGAAAGCAAATACCTTCGAAAATACTAACACACGTTCTGAGGATCTTCTACAAAATGAATAAAAAAACGCTTAATTTTTGAAAATGTGTCTGGATAAAGAAAATAGATCTGTGCAGAAGATTCATTTTGTCATGGCATTCAGATGACCATGTGGAGTCTTCCCCTCCCCGCTTCCAGTTACCTGCACTGACTTAAAAATCTTGACCTCATTGATCTTGGTAATGCCACAATTTCTCCCAAGAGTCTATATAGCATGTTGAGAGGCAAAACACTCTTAAGTACATGTGGTGTCCCACAGAGCTTGAGGTTGACTGTAGCCCTAACATGGCATGGATAGGATCATAGTAGGTAACCATGCACAGTTTACTGCTACTTGGTACAACAGAGCTGAAATCAAATGGTTAATTTGTTCTTCTCATGGAAAACATTCTGAATAGTAAAACAACCTTTGCTGCCTGATTAGAGCTAAAGCATTCTTGGCTAGCAAATATTTCAGTACAAAATGTTAAAATAGGATTGTTTGTGATGTTTTGGAGCTAAGTTAGACAGGCCATGGGACTGTGCAGGAGCCATTTATCAGAAGTGCTTAATGTTCTGAGGATACATTCCTTTAGAAAGGCTGGAATAAACTTTTCAGTCAAGTTATTATGTAAATGCTTGTGCTAGAAAGAGGAATTTCAGCTTTGTATTTTTAAGAAGCATGCCAAATATGGAAATACTCTTTAACTGTCATTCTAAAAGCACTAAATGTTTCAGCTGCTTAGAGGAGTAAATCAAACATTTTGCCTAAAATCGTAGGCAAAATGTAGCTCCAAAGAATATCTTTTTCTAGTAGTGCTTATCTTACCAGTGGTGGTGGTTTTTTAATGTGTGTTACCCCTTAAAAGTGGGCGAGTGAACAGAATTAGATCCAGATGAGTATTTGGAAACTTAAGAAAACCTTTGGAATTCCTTTTTAATAAGATTTAAAAAATCTGATTACAGTGAAGAATACTTTGTTTTTCTTTTTGATTTAATGTTTTTAATGCAAGCTATGTAAATATATACTCACAGGTTAGAAAAGTTGGGTGTTTTTCTTTCGTGTGCGCGTATTTAACGCAAAATGCTTTGGGTTAATTTTTAATGTTGCTCATAGCTATTTTCTCTTGTCATATGTACTTTCTCTTGTTGCTATTAAACCAAGATGTAAATATTATTCTAACTATATCGACTCTTCCGCACAGATAAAGAGGAACTTTTTGTACCTACTCCCAGTTATTTTGAGATTGTCTACCTGAACCCAGATAAACCTGCAGTCATTCCATGCCGTGTTACTACTCCTTCAGCAAAAGTAACTCTACACAGGGAATTTCCAGCAGAAGAAATTGAAACGGATGGAACTGATATTATTTATGATGTGAAGAAGGGTTTCATCTACCAGCACCCTACTTCCGATCATAAAGGTATTGTCTACTGCAAAGCAGAGTCGCAGGGAGCACCTCAGATTTCCATCAAGTATCACCTACTGTATGTGGAAGGTAAGGTGCAGTTTTCTATATGCTTACACCGACTCTTGTCTCTTCTGCTGACATTGTTTAGAAAACAATTTAAAAAAAAAGTAAAATAAGTAATGTAATCACAGAGTTTTAAAATCTTGATTGAAAGCATATGTGATAAAACTTCGTAGGTTTAAATTCCAGCAATTTCCCAGTGTAGTTGCAGGTATACATCACTTACCTGTTGCGTTAAGCAAACTGAGGCAAAAATTGACTCTTAAGTTTTATCAGTGTATTTAACTTTAGAAACTAATTTTCTGCTTCCAAACACTGTCTTTCTATCAGTTCCTAAGGGCCCGCCCTCAACCACAATTGCGGCGTCATCCAATAGAGCAGAAGTCAGTGACAGCGTTCATGTAATCTGCACAGTCCTTGGGGAGCCAGATGTAGATGTGAACTTCAGGTGGCAGTACCCAGGGCAAGAGGTAAGAGATGTACGCCCCGGCTGAAGTGGTTTGTTCTTCATGAAGGCATTGCTTTCAATGCCAGTCAGTGTCTAGATTTGGAGTAAAGATTCTTCCAGATTGTGGTGTCTGCCTCTTGCTAGCTCAGGCATGCTGGCAGGAGAAGGCAGCACATCCCTTTTGAACTTCAGCCCATCTTTCCCTGAGAGCCTAGAAGTAGCACAGGAATGAAGCTGGAGAGCTCTACCCATGTTAGCAAAAATCAAGCTCAGCAAAGCTCACTCCTCCCTTAGGTTTCCATTCCAGAGACACTTGGCCTCTGGCAGCGTTTACAAAGAAAAGCCTCAGACAAGGTCAAAGCCAGCCAGCATCAGGAAGCTATTCTAGGGCAAGCCACAAAGCCTCACTGATGCCTCTGCATTTGATATCCCTTCTATCTCCATGGATCGGGCACATGAATCATCGCAGCACAGAATCTTTAATTTAATTGTTGCCCACATCCAGAAGCACAGAAATCGGCTTCTGCCCAGCCTCATCTGAAAGAATCCACTGGAAACATCCAGTGAATCTTAGAACTTTGTCGGTCTTTTTTCTTGCACAAAATAAGGTGTATCTGACCAGCATCGTTGATGGTCCTCCTTCTTCTCCCTCTACCAACCCCAACCAGTTACAGTAGGGACTTGTTTCTTAACCAGCCTCATCTCTACTGCTGTTTATCCTAAGCAGGCTAGGAGCAAAGGAAGGACTGCTGGAAGATGGAACCCTTCACCAGAGGAAAGGAATCCTCCAGGACCCGAGGGTTTGCATTGTATTCTATTTGCCAGCCCTCCTGGTGCTGGGTTGTCAAAGGACGATGCAGAGCTTGCTAATAAAGTACTTGTATCAGCACTGGTCTCCCTGAGCCAGCATAGAATTAAGTAATTTAACGGCAGAGGCAATTGCTTAAGTGAGTGACTGGAGTTCAGTGCTTACTAGGCTTGAGAAAATTCAAATCTAAAGCCCCAGAAGTTTGCTGTAGCCATTAAGATGGAGACTAGCACTCCGCTGTCATGGGAAGGCGAGTGCCTTTTCAGGGGAAAAAATAGTGAGAGAGCAAGAAAGCACAAAAGGGATTTGAACTGCTGGTGAGGGCACTGGGCACGTAGAACCAGGTTTCTAGTCCTTGCTTAGATGTTAGTTTGTTCTTTCACTTCCCCCTCTCCGCTCCACCTTTTTTTTTTTTTGCTGCTGCTTGTC